CGAGTGGGGACGCCGGGCCGTTTTGGGAAAAAAACGTATGAGAGGATACGGGAGGAGCTGAGTAAATGGGAGGCGCAGTACTTAACTACGACAACCAGAGTGGCGGTGGTTAGCTGCTATGTCTTACAGGTGTTGATGTTCCAGGCTCAGGTTTACTCCTAGTACCAAGCATATGATGAAGTATCGCATATATTTTTTGTATCAACCACACGGGTAAGTAACGCACTTATTCTAAATATCAACCATTCGGGCAAGTAACGCACTTACTCTTAGTATCAACCCCACAGATAAGTAACCCACACCAACACCACGGGTACTCTTTGTACCAACACCACGGGTAAGAAACGCACTTATTCTTAATACCAACCACACGGCTAAGTAACGCACTTAATCTTAGTACCAACCACACGGGTAGATAACGCACTTACTCCTAGTATCAACCACACGGGTAAGTAATGCAGTTACTCTTAGTATCAACCAGACGGGTAAGTAACGCACTTACTATTAGTACCAACCACACGGATAAGTAACGCACTTACTCTTAGTATCAACCACACGGGTAAGTAACGCACTTACACTTAGTATTAACCACGCGGGTAAGTAACGCACTTACTCTTAATACCAACAACACGACTATGTAACCCACTTACTCCTAGTACCAACATACGGTAAGTAACGCACTTACTCTTAGGATGAACCACACGGGCAAGTAACGCACTTAGTCTTAGTACCAACCAAACGGGTATGTAACCCACTTACTCTTAGTATCAACCACACGGTAAGTAACGCATTTACTCTTAGTACCAACCACACGGGAAAGTAACGCACCTACTCCTAGTAACAACCACACGGGTAAATAACACACTCACTCTTAGTATTAACCACACGGATAAGTACCTCTTAGTACCAATCACACAGGTAAGTGACGCACTTACTCCTAATACCAACCACACGGATAAGTAACGCACTTACTCTTAGTATCAACCATACAGGTAAGTAACGCACTTACTCTTTGTACCAACGATACGGGTAAGTAGCGCAGTTACTCCTAGTACCAAGCATATGAGTACGTAACGCACATATTCTTAGTATCAACCACACGCGTAAGTAACGCACATACTTTTAGTATTAACCATACGGTAAGTAATCCACTTACTCTTAGTATTAACCACACAGGTAAGTAACGCACTTACTCTCAGTAACAACCGCACGGGTATGTAACGCACTTACTCTTAGTACCACCAATACGTATAAATAACACATTTATTCTTAGTTCCAACCACACGGGTAAGTAACCACCTTTACTCCTAGTACCAACCAAACGGGTAAGTAACGCACTTACCCTTAGAATCAACTACACGGGTAAGTAACGCATTTACCCTTAGTACCAACCACACGGGTAACTAACGCACCTACTCTTAGTACCAACCACACGGGTAAGTAACGCACTTACTCCTGGTACCAACCACACGGGTAAGTAACGCACTTACTCTTAGTATTAACTATACGGGTAAGTAACGCACTTATTCTTAGTACCAACGTTACGGGTAACTAGCTCACTTACTCCTAGTATCAAGCATATGGGTACGTAACGCATATATTCCGTATATCAACCACACTGGTAAGTAACGCACTTACTCTTAATACCAACCACATGGGTAAGTTTTGCACTTACTGTTAGTATCGACCACACAGGTAACGCACATACCCTTAGTATACACCATACGGGTAAGTAACGCACTTTCTCTAAGTACCAACCACACTGGCAAGTAACGCATTTACTCTTAGTCTCAACCATACGGATAAGTAACACACATACTCTTAGTACCAACCAGACAGGTAAGTTGTGCACTTACTCTTAGAATCAACCACACAGGTAAATTACGCACTTACTCTTTGTACCAACCACACGGGTAAGAAACGCACTTACTCTTAGTATTGACCACACGGGTAAGAAACGCACTTACTCTTAGTACCAACCACACGGGTAAGTAACGCTCTTACACCTAGTATCAACCATACGGGTTAGTAACGCACTTAGTCTTAATATTCACCACACGGGTAAGTAACGCACTTACTCTTAGTACCAACCACACGGGTAAGTGACGCACTTACTCTTAGTACCAATCACGCGGGTAAGTAACGTACTTACTCGTAGTATTAATCACACAGGGTAAGTAACGCACTTATTCTTAGTACCAACCATACGGGTAAGTCACGCACTTACTCTTAGTATCAACCATACGGGTAAGTAACGCACTTACTTCAACCACACGGGTAAGTAACGCACTTACTCTTAGTACCAACAACACGGGTATGTAACGCAATTACTCCTAGTACCAATAATGCGGTATGTAACGCACTTACGAATAAGATTTTGCGCGACCTGGCTCTCGTGCTGATTTTCATTGAAGGGAGTCGGGAGGACTGGATAAGCGTGCAGGAGGCGTGTGGCAAGGCCCATGGCACCAGTTTCATCCAAGCGGAGGCTCATGTGAAGTCCGTCTAGCACTGCACTGCGCTCCTGAAGGGGGGGGCTGCCAGCCGTGTGAGCAAAGGGAAGCTGAAGATTCGGGTTCGCAAGGAGTACGGCATGTAGAGATGTCAGATGGAGATGTGGCGCAGAAGGCTTGCATGTTGTTCCCTGACAAGGAGAGACAGAGATGGGTAGGAGGCATTTCTTTGTACCAAGCCCGTGGATGTGTAGGGGCTCTCTTACAATTGATTAACCTTACCATTTGCAAGGTCAACGTTAACGGTCTCGGTGGCAACGGCAAGAGAACCTCACACAAGAAATGGATTAAAAAAGTAGCAGGTGTGGTGGCGCTGAGTGATACAAGGATAGGTGAAGATCATAATTTATGTACGCAACTTAAGCCATCGGCAGTGGTGGTGGTGGGAAAAAATGAATGTTCAGGGGGCGTAGCAGTGCTATCCTTTAAAGACGGTGTGACGCTAACTGACGCGGTCAGGCATCAGTCAGGGAGGCTCGTCAATGTGTCAGTAACGAGTGCACAGCTCACCTTCAGGATTATAGCAGCCTTTTTACTAGCGCAGGCCTGCAACAGGGCAGTCTTCTTCCGCAACTGCCTCCCGCAGTTTGAGCGAGCGCAACCTCCGTCAACGCACCTGGTTCTGATGGGGGATTTGAACCTGCTGGAGGATCCGGACATGGATAAGGCATCCCGCGCGGGCTCGGGAAGAGAGAACCAGAGGTGGCTGAGTTACTAGTCAGCCTGGGACCTCAGGGACACCTTTCGAACGCTGCACCCGTCCAGCCTGGAGTACACCTTCCGAAACAGGGCGACGCAGTCTAGCACACGGATCGACCGTGGCTTGGTGTCGCTCTCGCTGCTGGGGGTCCTGGCGGAGGCAAGGCATGTCAAGGCGCTGAAAAGGTTGTCAGGCCATTGGTTTGCGGTCAAGATTGGGCTGACAGTGACGTCTCCGCTTGACCAAGGGCCGGGCCTGTGGAGAATGCAGGCACAACAAGCGAGGAGGAGGGGGGTCAGAGTGACGACTAAGAACGTACTCAAGCGGCTCAAAAAGGAGGGGGACATGGACCTCGGCAAGAAGCTTCAGCTGCTCAGCGCGGGTTTGCGTGCCTACACACGAGAGGAGAGGAAGAGGGTGAAAGCGACGACGGAGCACCTTGAAAAAGAGGTGGAGATGCTTCGTCACAAAGTGATGCGGCACCCGGCGGATAGAAGGGCGCAGAGCAAGTTGGTCTGCAAGGAGGCTCACCTGGAGGCATATCAAGTGAGCTGCAAGGAGAGACTGCAGGTCCTTACGGGTATCAAAGTGGAGTTATGCGGGAAAGTACCATCACCGTACATATCAGCGATGGTGAAGATGCGTAAAAAGCGCACGCTGATACAGGCGATTTTGCACCAGCGTGCGGTGTACCACGGAACAAAGCGGGTGCTCGCGGCAGCGTGGATTGTTTTAAAACAGCTTTCAGAGAGGTAGAGCCAGAGGAGGAGGTTGACTGGGCGAGCCTTCTTGGAGGGGGCGTCTCTCACGGACGCCGAGGTAGAGCAGCTTGGTGCGGAGTGTGCGGAGAGACACTCTACTATAGTCGTGAGCTAGACTACGGGGGTTGGCACGAACTCTAGGAGTGATTGTAGCTTTGCCTGCATTCCTTAGCACTTGCACATTCACGGGAGAATTCGGCAAGAGTTTCCACTATCAAAGTTGGGATTACAGAATGATAGCAATCACAATGACAAGAATGACTACATCAGGCACCTAGCGACTCTGCAGCTAGCCCGGTCGATCGCCAGCACAGCATAGTCGACCGCCTGCCAGCGTTGCGTAGAGGAGCCGCGCCGGCACTGCAGAAACGCGGCCTGCCAACACAGCAGGTCGACGGCGTGCCAACGCTGCAGCAGAGCGGCTGTCCAGCGTTGCACTCGTAGAAGACAGCATTGCACACGTACGTATGTGCGCGCAGACGATTGTCCCGGCGTGCACCGTTGTGCATCTGTCGGCTGTGGTCTGCACTTGAGGATCCAAATCGACTTTGAGATACCAGCCCGAATTCGCCTTTGCCATCGCGACCTCGACGACGTTCGCGTGCCTCCGCAGAACTCGCCGAGTAGGTTACCTGGTCGACCTGGTCGACCACCCAGTGTGCACCCTGGTCGACGAACCCCTCGTCGACCACCGCGCCCGTCGAACTGCCCCTCCCGGTCGACGACCCGTCCGTCGACCAGCTCGGTCAGGTGAAGCCGTTGAGCTCCCCTAGTCGACGGCTTTAGTTCCGCGACTGTCCTGTGCAGGTCGACGACCACCTCGTCGACTTGCCCCGCAGAAGTTGGCCGTCGGCTCCCCGTCGACGGCAACACCCAGCGATCCCCTACAGCTCGACGAAGCCTATCCAGCAGCTATCTCACTGCGTTCGGTCGGCTGCTTCTCCCGTACATCCGACCAGGAAGTCGGCGTCGCCCAAGCGAGGGCGGGGCCAACACTCCATTCCTGTTAACACTCCCCTGCCGCGCTCACGCTTGGGCTCCCTAGCCCACACACCAGTACTCCACGGAGAAAACTCAACCTCGGCGTGCACCCCACACACAGCACGCCGCCACCGCACCAGCCGTGCAGAAGGGCACGGCACCTACTGGTGCACATCGTCGTCGCCGACGCTGACATCTGCCAGGCGCACTTGGCCGATCGCGACGGAGCACCGGTTGAAGGCCGGAAAGTGTAGCAAGTCGGGATGTACTTCAACACGAATTTCCCGCGCCTCACCATGTGTTGCAGCCACGAGTAGCGTTGCTCAATGTGCTTGAGGTTGCCCATCAGCCCCAAGCCCTCAACGACCGTGATGGCCGACTCATTGTCCACCCGAAGGACAGTCGGCTTTCCAGCGTCGAGCTGCTGGAACTCCGCAAGGAGGAAGCCGAGTCGGCGTCCATCCGTGCCAGCGTCCGTGGCCGCCACGTACTCCGACTCGGTCGACGACAATGTCGCGCACTTGATGCGCGAACTCGGCCAGGAGACTGCGGCCCCTCCGTAGACGAACACGTAGCAGCCCGTGCTCGTCCGGTTCTGCTTATCGCCGCCGTCGTCGGCGTCCACGTAGCCGACCAGCTTCAGTGACTCTGGTCCACTGCCGAACTCCAGGGCGGTGTCGCGGGTGTCGGCGAGGTAGGCGAGGCAACGGTTGACCTCGCGCCAGTGCTGGTCGCTCCTCACCGTGAGGTCGCTTCTCAGCTTGCTGCAGGCGATGTCCGGCCTCGTCGTCGTCGCCGCAAACTGCAGCGAGCCGACCTTCTGCCGGTACTCCTCCTTGCGCTCCTGCGCCTCCTCGTCGTCGAATGTCAGCTCGGCATAGGCGTCGACCGAGACCGGTGTTTTCTGGATGCGCCTGATCTGCTCCTCGTCGATGAAGCGTCTGTGCAGCTTGTCGGCGTAGCCCTGCTGGTGCAGCCATAGCTTCCTCGCTGGCCTGTCGCGTACGATCTCCAGCCCGAGGTACTTGACGACTGGTGAGATCTCACTTCAGCATCACGGTGCTGCTGCTGGCGGCGAGTAGGTTGTCGACGTAGACCAGCACCCAGCAGGTCACTCCGTCGTCGCCGACCTTGAAGTAGAGCGCCTCGTCGGCCTGGGTCTTCTTCCATCCTGCCCCCAGCAGCACACCGTCGAGAGCCATATACCACACCAGCGGTGACAGCTTCAGCCCGTAGAGGCTCTTCAGTAGCTTGCACACCCGGCCGGTCCCGTCGTTGTAGTAGTCCGGCTGGTACATGTACAGCACCCGGTCGAGCTTGCTCTGCAGGAAAGTGTTCTTCAGGTCGAGCTGCACCAGGTTGAGGTCGAGGACGGCAACGATGCTGAGGAAGATCCTCAGCATGACGTAGCTGCCCACCGGCGAGTACGTCTCGTCGTAGTCGGCGCCGTACACATGCGTGAAGCCCTTCACGACCAGCCTCGCCTTCTCGCGCACGACGGTGTCGTCGATGCGGTACTTGGTCATCAGCACCCACCAGTTCTTCATGATGTTTACCCCACGCGGGCGTTCGACCAGCTTCCTCGTGCCGTTGCTGATGAGGCTACGGATCTCCTCGTCCATGGCAGCCTCTACCGCCTCGCCCTTCCAGCTCGCCAACGCCTCCTTCACTGTCATCGACGCGATGTCCCAGCGGTGCTCGGTGTCGGCGTGCACGTCGGGGTCGAGCTCGGGCAGGTCAACAACCGCCTCTGCATCGTCGAGCAGTGTGGTGAAGGCAGCCGTGGCAGCTCAGCCAGTCTGGTGGCCTCCGAGTTCGACCCGAGCGTCGCAGCTCGGGCTTTGACCGTTGCAGCTCAGGCGTCTCAATCGGCACCTCCACCACGTTGCTGTTGGTGGACTCCTCTCCTGCCGACAGCTCCCCTTCCTCATCGACATTCGCTTCGTCGACCAGCTGCTTCGCCAGCGTTGGCCCTTCGCCCGGCTGCTCCCCTCTCGTCGGCCCTCCTACCGGCTTCTCTTTCGTCAACAGCTCCCCTGTCGACTGGACTTCTGCTACTGCCTCCTTTTGTACCAGCTCCCCTGTCTGCTGCTTACCTGTCGTCGACGGCTGCACACCCCTGTCGACGAGCTTGGCGTCTTCTCGGCCGCTGGCGGTGCCACTAGCCGGCGCCACAGGCGACGCCTCAAGGCTCCCGTCATCGCCGGCGGCCGACACTGGGGTCGACGCAGGCCGATCTGCGACGGGGGTGGGAGGAGCAAGAACAGGGGGCGGAGGGAGGACTTCCTTGACGTCCTCATCAGCAGGATCGTCGACCTCGGCCAGCAGCGGTAACGTCGATGTCGAGGTGTCCTCGGCGGGTGTGCTTGCGTCCGCCTCGACGCCGGCTCGTCCGTCGACCAGCTCGGTCAGCTGCAGCCGTCGAGCTCCCCTGGTCGACGGCTCGAGTTCCGCGACTGTCCTGTGCAGGTCGACGACCACCTCGTCGACCTGCCCGGCAAAAGTTGGCCGTCGGCTCCCCGTCCACGGCAACACCGCAGCGATCCCCTGAAGCTCGACGAACCTTGTCGAGCAGCTCTATCACTGCGTTCGGTCTGTTGCTTCTTCCGTACATCCGACCAGGAAGTCGACGTCGCCCAAGCGAGGGCGGGGCCAACACTCCATTCCCGTTAACAGGGTGGTCGGGGCAGGAGGTCAAGGACGCGCTGGCGGGACTCCCCAGAGGGAAATCTCTGGGGCAGGATGGACTCCCGGCGGAATTCTTCGTTCTGCACTGGGATATGCCGAGGGAAAATGTGATGCAATTTGTGAAGAACTTCAAAAGGACAGCAAGGCTACCAGAGGAGCTGTCGACTGCGGCGACTGTGCTGCTGCACAAGGAGGGGCTAGTGGATCAGCTTGGGATTTATCGACCAGTAACATTGCTCACGGTCATGTACAAGCTAGCCACCAAGGTGATGGCTACGAGACTCAAGAAAGTGATGGGAAAGGTTTTGTCAAAAGAGCAGCACGATTTCCAACCAAGGAAAAGCCTTGGGGATGCGGTGTCAGTGGTCGCGGATGCGGTTGAAGCGGCGAACAGCGGGAAGGAGGACTGGCTGCTGTTGCTTGTAGATTTCCAGAAGGCTTACGATACCGTCTCGAGGGGGTACTTGTTCAGAGTCATGGAGAAGTTGGGAATGCCTGAGAAGTTTGTCAACTGGACCAGGGGCCTGCACGAGGGGGCGGGCACAAGGATTTTAGTCAATGGATAGCTGAGCGAGAAAGTGGAGATGAGCAGGGGAGTAAGGCAAGGGTGCCCCCTGGCGCCTTACCTGTTCATGTGCACACTGGAGCCGCTCTGTAGAGAGACGAGCCGCAGAAGGCTGGGCCTAGGGGAGACGGGAGCGGAGCCACTCTCATACGTCTGGTACGCCGACAAAACATTTTTCTTGCTGAAAGGGGAGCAGAAGTTGAGGGAATCGGTGGAGATGCTGGATGCTCTTGGCAAGCAGTCGGGCCTGAAGGTGAACTGCAACAAGTCAGCAGTGGTGACGTTAGGGAGCAATAGGGGTAAGCAGACGCAGGCAGACGTCCCATACTAGTGGGCTACACAGGAAGAGCCGGGGAGACTTCTGGGGGTGTGGATCACGCCGAGTGGGGACGCCGGGCCGTTTTGGGAAAAAACGTATGAGAGGATACGGGAGGAGCTGAGTAAATGGGAGGCGCAGTACTTAACTACGACAACCAGAGTGGCGGTGGTTAGCTGCTATGTCTTACAGGTGTTGATGTTCCAGGCTCAGGTTTACTCCTAGTACCAAGCATATGATTAATTATCGCAAATAATTTTTGTATCAACCACACGGGTAAGTAACGCACTTATTCTTAATATCAACCATTCGGGCAAGTAACGCACTTACTCTTAGTATCAACCATACGGAAAAGGAACACACATACTCTTAGTACCAACCAGACGGGTAAGTACTGCACTTACTCTTAGTATCAACCCCACAGGTAAGTAACCCACAAACTCTTTGTACCAACTCCACGGGTAAGAAACGCACTTATTTTTAATACCAACTACACGGCTAAGTAACGCACTTACTCTTAGTACCAACCACACGGGTAGATAACGCACTTACTCCTAGTATCAAGCACACGGGTAAGTAATGCAGTTACTCTTAGTATCAACCAGACGGGTAAGTAACGCACTTACTATTAGTACCAACCACAGGGGTAAATAACGCACTTACTCTTAGTATCAACCACACGGGTAAGTAACGCACTTACTCTAAGTATTAACCACGCGGGTAAGTAACGCACTTACTCTTAATACCAACAACACGACTATGTAACCCACTTACTCCTAGTACCAACATACGGTAAGTAACGCACTTACTCTTAGGATGAACCACACGGGCAAGTAACGCACTTAGTCTTAGTACCAACCAAACGGGTAGGTAACGCACTTACTCTTAGTACCAACCAAACGGGTATGTAACCCACTTACTCTTAGTATCAACCACACGGTAAGTAACGCATTTACTCTTAGTACCAACCACACAGGAAAGTAACGCACCTACTCTTAGTAACAACCACACGGGTAAATAACACACTCACTCTTAGTATTAACCACACGGATAAGTACCACTTAGTACCAATCACACAGGTAAGTAACGCACTTACTCCTAGTACCAACCACACGGATAAGTAACGCACTTACTCTTAGTATCAACCATAAAGGTAAGTAACGCACTTACTCTTTGTACCAATGATACGGGTAAGTAGCGCAGTTACTCCTAGTATCAAGCATATGGGTACGTAACGCACATATTCTTAGTACCAACCACACGCGTAAGTAACGCACATACTTTTAGTATTAACCATACGGTAAGTAATGCACTTACTCTTAGTATTAACCACACGGTTAAGAAACGCACTTACTCGAAGTATCAACCACACGGGTATATGTAACGCACTTACTCTTAGTACCACCAATACATATAAATAACACACTTATTCTTAGTTCCAACCACACGGGTAAGTAACATACTTACTCCTAGTACCAACCAAACGGGTAAGTAACGCACTTACCCTTAGAATCAACTACACGGATAAGTAACGCATTTACTCTTAGTACCAACCACACGGGTAAGTAACGCACTACTCTTAGTACCAACCACACGGGTAAGTAACGCACTTACTCTTAGTATTAACCACACGGTTAAGTACCTCTTAGTACCAACCACACGGGTAAGTAACGCACTTACTCCTAGTACCAACCAGACGTGTAAGTAACGCACTTACTCTTAGTATTAACTATACGGGTAAGTAACGCACTTACTCTTAGTACCAACGTTACGGGTAAGTAGCGCACTTACTCCTAGTATCAAGCATATGGGTACGTAACGCATATATTCCGTATATCAACCACACTGGTAAGTAACGCACTTACTCTTAGTACCAACCACATGGGTAAGTTTTGCACTTACTGTTAGTATCAACCACACAGGTAACGCACATACCCTTAGTATCAACCATACGGGTAAGTAACGCACTTTCTCTAAGTACCAACCACACTGGCAAGTAACGCATTTACTCTTAGTCTCAACCATACGGATAAGTAACACACATAATCTTAGTACCAACCAGACAGGTAAGTTGTGCACTTACTCTTAGAATCAACCAAACAGGTAAATTACGCACTTACTCTTTGTACCAACCACACGGGTAAGAAACGCACTTACTCTTAGTATTGACCATACGGGTAAGTAACTCACTTGCTCTTAGTACCAACACACTGATAAATAATGCACTTACTCCTAGTATCAACCACACGGGTAAGTAACGCACTTACTCTTAGTATCAACCACACGGGTAAGTAACGCACTTACTCTTAGTACCAACCACACGGGTAAGTAACGCTCTTACGCCTAGTATCAACCATACGGGTTAGTAGCGCACTAAGTCTTAATATTCACCACACGGGTAAGTAACGCACTTACTCTTAGTACCAACCACACGGGTAAGTAACGCACTTACGCCCTGACGCGGCCCCTGGCGGCGCCTGATGCGGCCCTGACGCGGCCTGACGCGGCCCCTGGCGGCGCCCTGACGCAGCCCCTGCCGCGGCCCTGACGCGGCCCTGCCGCGCCCCCTGACGCGGCCCTGACGCGGCCTGCCGCGGCCCCTGCCGCGGCCCTGAAGCGGCCCCTGACGCGGCCCTGACGCGGCCCTGACGCAGCCCTGCCGCGGCCCCTGGCGGCGCCCTGACGCGGCCCCTGACGCGGCGCCCTGACGCGGCCCCTGCCTCGGCCCTGACGCGGCCCTGCCGCGGCCCCTGACGCGGTCCTGACGCGGCCTGCTGCGGCCCCTGCCGCGGCCCTGAAGCGGCCCCTGACGCGGCCCTGAAGCGGCTCTGCCGCGGCCCTGACGCGGCCCTGACGCGGCCCCTGACGCGGCCCCTGCCGCGGCCCCTTACGCGGCCCTGACGCGGTCCTGCCGCGGCCCCTGGCGGCGCCCTGACGCGGCCCCTGACGCGGCGCCCTGACGCGGCCCTGCCGCGGCCCCTGACGCGGCCCCTGCCGCGGCCCCTGACGCGGCCCCTGACGCGGCCCCTGTCGCGGCCCCTGACGCGGCCCCGCCACCTACGGCCCCGCCGCCTCCTCTCAGCGGCCCCGCCGCCTCCTCTCAGCGG